CCTTGATGTGTTTTGAAATAAGGTCCAATTTCTCCATTCACCTTAACAGCTACCTTTCCTCCCATCACGGTTTTCATTACCCAATTGATCCATTTGTCTGGAAACTTTTTCATTTTAAGAGTTTGAAAAAGAAACGGCCATTTAACCTTGTCAAATGCCTTCTCAAAATCAATCTTAAAAAGAACCCCCTTCTTTTTTTTGTTTATGCATAGAATTCAAGGTTTCATGCAAAACCAAAACACCTTCTAAAATGTACCTACCTTTTATAAAAAGCAGTTTGAGAGTCTCTAATTACTCCTGAAATTATTATAATCAATCTATTCACCAAAATTTTAGTGATTATCTTGAAAATAACATTCAGGAGGCAGATTGGTCTGTATTTTTGTATCTTATCCGCATCACTCCCTTTGGGCAAAAGAGAAATCACTCCATAATTTAGCCTGTCTAGGTCTAAATTATGTTCATAAAATTCCTCAAGAAGTGCCAACAAATCATCTTTAACAAGCTCCCAAAAATGTTGATAGAATTCAATATTAAAACCATCTGGACCAGCCGCCTTGTTCTTCTCCATGCCAAAAACAGCTTTTTTCTATTCGTCAATTGTGAATTTCTTGACAAGGAAATCATGTTCATTTGCAGTGAGTGTTTCCACACCACTGGAGTCCATGTTTAAAGTCCTGATCTCAGGTTCTTTAAAAAGTTCTTTGTAAAACAGAGTGATATATTTCTTTAAATTCTCCTGCCCTTCAATCACCCCATCATCCTGCACAAGCTTAATGATTCTGTTTTTCCTAAGTCTGCCATTTGCTTTAGCATGATAATATTTAGTGTTAGCATCTCCCTTCTGTAACTCTGTGTCATGAGACCTCTGGATCCATCTGATCTCTTCTTCTTTAAGAATTACCTTCAGAGACTCTTGACAAGCTTTTTTTATTTCCTTGTCATCATCACAAAGCTTCTCTTCTTCTTCCATTTTGTCTAATCTATTCAATTCTTCTAAGATTTCTTTTTTCTTTCTTCTAAAAATTGCTTCAATATTTAGATTCCACCCTTTCAAGACCTTCCTCATCTCCTTCATTTTGTTATGGAACCTATCCAAAATGGAACTCCCAGGATAGTTTGACTCCCACACCCTCCTAACTATCTCGTTCAAATCTGGCCTTTGAAACCAACTGTTTTCAAACATGAAAACTGAAGTTTTCGCAGGTGCAGTTCCAGTTTTCACGAGCAGCGGAGCATGGTCCAAGAATTCTCTGGGTAAGTCTTCAATGTAAACCAAAGGATATTTTTCCTCCCATGAGGTGGAAATTAGTACTCTGTCTAATAAGGCATAAGTGGGATCCTCATGATTATTAGACCAAGTATATTTCCTTCCTACTAAAGGAAGCTCCATCATTTCTCCAAAAGTAATCACCGAATTAAAAAGCATACTCCATTTGTTATAACCACCAGGCTTATTCTTATCACTACCTTTCCTAGTCATGTTAAAATCGTTTCGAATTTTTGAAGATGTGAACCAACTCCACCAGAAATTTTGGTTTGCCTCTTGGTTGGGCATCTCCATACACCACAACCAGGTCCCAGCAAAAACCATCTCCAATGTTTCTGACTTTAATCTTGACAAAATATTCCCCTTGTTCCTTTTTCTCTTTAATGAGAGTTGCACTGTTTATGCCAACTAGGATTCCTCCAGATCTTCCTTTAGAAGGCAGAAAATCCCACTCAAACTTTTCTGATGCACTAAGATCAGACAAGTCCAATTTGTTGAAATCTGTCTTCATAGTTTCCTGTATGCCTACAAAGTCTAGATTATTTTTCCCAATTTGTTCTTTAATAAAATCTCTCTTCTTCTTCTCTCCAATCCCTCTAGAATTCCAAATTAGACCACTTATCATTTTAGATGAGAAAACCTATGAGATCTGCCTAAGTATACTCAGGATACAAATGACTGTAACCCAGAGAGTAGAGAGAAACTAAAAGGGCACAAGGACACTATTTCCAGCTAGGGAGGTCAGTGAATGCTCCTTTTTTTTCTTTCTTCTCAGCACAGTTTTTACTGGGGTTTTAACAGCCACAGCCTCAAAGCGAGCACTGTTAGCTTTAAGCCCCAACCTGATCCCTCCAAAAATGTCATCCATCCTCTCATCCACATTTTCATCTTCATCATCTTTACTTAAACTTAAAAGATCCTGAAGAATGTCATTGACATCTCCAGGTTCTAAAACGAGGTCTTCCTCTTGATTATTTGGTTGTTCTCTAGAACTGGCTAAAAAAAGGTCTCTCCTAGCCTTTTCTAAAGAGGACAGCAAATCCAAATTATGTTCCACCATGTCTAAGGTTACCCCCAAATCTACACCTAAAACGTCAGCTACATCGATAAGTTTTAAATTTTCGGCATAAATATTTTCAGAGATCTCAGGATTAGAAGCCACACCTTCAGATAGAACCATATTCTTGGCTCTGGCTAAAGTCATGGCTCTGTCTAGGATGGGTATGTCATCTCTGTTTTTTGATGCAATTCTCCCACTGTATCTCTGCCCCCCTTGATCTGCATTGTTAACTTTTTCATTCTCTTTGTTCTCCCCATCAGGGTTAGAGATCCCAAGCTTAGTACCAAAACTGACGGACTGAGATGCTTCGTACTCCTCTTCCATGTCCTCACCGGACCCATCTTCTAGCAAATTTTCTCTCTCTGTTTTTCCCCTTCCCCGTTGATTGACGCTGATCCAACCTCCTCATCCAAATTACCTGGTTTGTCTTTGTTTGCATTTTTGTTATACATCAACACATCAGCAGCTTCATGTTCTTTCAAAGCAGCGTCTCTTTCTTCTGCAGCTATCCTGGTTCTTGTGCTTGCGCATAGCTGATTCTGGGACACCCTTTCTTCATTAACCTTTGCCTTTTTAGCCTCTCTGCTTTCCTCTTCTTCTTGCTGAAAGTCCATCCACTCTTCATATCCTTGTGACATTTCCTCTTCCTCTTTAGCCCAACCATTTTCCACCACTTCTTCGACCTCAAAGAAAATCCTGAACACCATTAAGTCAGGAGTTGTCAATTTGGTCCATCTGGGAATTTTGGTGTGATCAACCACTGCAACTTTGAGGCGAACCTGTCCAGTTTTGTTCATCAGATCCATGTCAACCGTTTGGAGATAACCAATAGTTGAACCAATTTCACACAGGCCATGGTAGTTCTTCATTGTTTTTGGGACCCCCTTTGCTTTGACCCAGACCACTGATAGTTTGCCCACAACCATTGCATCATCATTCCAAACCCTGACATTCACGGTGACGTTTCCACCTTTCAGAGGAACCCAGTCATATACAGCAGCTTCATTGATTCTTGCCGTTGATGGAAAATTGACCAAGAACACCCCATCAGATACCTTTTTAGCTTTCCAGTCCCATCTCCACGGATAAGTTTTCGCCAAGCATTTGATCAAGTTGTCAGCTTCAATTTCCAGATCACGGCCTTCTCTTAATCTCACCAAAGCCACAGCGTCATTTTTACCATTGCCTGTCGTCTCCTTAGCATGATCAGCCACAAAAATACCAAGCCCTTCCCCTCCGAAACCTACCAAAGTGGCAACAGGTTTTTTCTGATGCAGCCAGGCACAGAAATCAGAAATATGCGTATCCTTTGAGCAAATCACGCACTTGACTTTTGCATCACATCCCTTGGAATTATGTCCTTTCTTTCCACACTTGTGACACACGATCTTATCATTCGTCGGTGTTTTACTCTCAGAAACAGCCACTGATCCCTGATTCCCTGTCAGCACAGCACCTGCTGAGTTTGCTTTGGAAACTTGAGCATCACTGCCCCCTCCCCCACTGGCTGTGTTCACCTTCTGCTGGTAAGTGCTGGCCACTGTGGGCAGATTATTTACATACTACAATCTTGCCCCTGAAGCGGACTGAAATCTCCTCTGGATAAGCGAGTTCATCTTTTTTTCTTTTTTGATAAAGACAAGCGAGTTCATCTACTGTAGCATTTCAGACAATTGGGATGCTTCGCCCCGAAAGTTGATTTGGCAGTTGCGGCTCCCTAGGAAGATACTCCCACCGTCCCAAATTACTTGTCACGGAATGGATAGAAATGAATGTATTTAGAACTAAAAATACGTCTAGATATATCCATTTCTACAACAAGTAATTCGAGACGAAGGGACTAAATATGATGCTGTGGCGCTTTGACCACGACAGCCTGCCCCTGCGAACGAACATCCAGCACCGTGGAAGTTCAAAAAAGAAAAAACATCCGGCACCGACGCACCGTGGCCCTACGCAGCAGACTAGACTAGGATGGCTGCCACATGTTCCTGAGCTGCAAATATACGAGCCCCTGCCAGCATGCCAATCCGGAGGGGTATTGACTACACAAAAGACAGGCAGGTTGCAGATACAACACGCCATTTCCTTGCTGAAACACCCATGACTGCTAGTATTACACTCCTTAAAAGCAAGCCAATTCGTGTCCGATCTTGGAAATGGGTCGGATCATCACTGAAACTGAAGCCACGATCCTCGACAATGCTCTAACTTCCGGTGATCGTAAGGAAAAACGTGTTGTTTCTTGCAGTAGAGCTTGTAACTCCGTTCTTCATGGCTTAGCAGCACATGGAGCACGTATTGGCATGATGATGCACTTGGCTATGTAAACGCTATGGTGGCCAGAGATTTAGCTGTGCCAGTAATGTACTAAAGCGCAGCAGATTCCTATAAAAGGAAAATCAAACTGGCTCCATAACAGGACCAAGTCTGGGGTACACCTTACGGCTGCAAGCTGTGTAGTTCAGGAGTTGGATGTTGATAATTCAGGCTATTTGTATTAAGATTAGGATTGAATAAGGAACTATCTGATCCAGTCTTGGCCACCGGCTCAGTACAGTCCAACATCGGTTTCACTGGACTTGCAAGTGTTCCATGCAGAATAAACATACAAACTGAGCCCGGTAAAATAAAACCTCTAATCTGACAGTGCCACTGACCTAGTGCGTGTCACTGGAACTTTCTGACAAGCTCGAGTTTGCGAGCCTGGAAGAACTTACAGCGGCCTTTTCCACTCGATTCGATCTCCTCCGACTTCCTTTTGAACCCTGTGAAGCCTAAGCTCGACAACGTGACCTGTCGCTTGGCGCTTCCGTAGCCAGCTGCATCTTCATCAACTTCGTCAGACTCCCTACAAGTGATCACATGCCACAAATCATAGTGGTGGTCATTCACATTTTGCTATTACTGCAGTGCAGCAGCATAAGGGTTCGAATTCAAACTTACCATGTGACTTCAACTCCATTCTTGAAGTATGGTGTGCAAGTTCCCCAGCTAAAACGCACCAAAGTTGGGAAACCAAATACTGGATGCTTATGATCTTTTAACCATTGTATAGTATTAGGATCTGCTCCATTAATTAGGAAGACCTTTTAAAAACAGTCATATGCATTAAACATTGACAACATCATTTATCAGGAGCAATCAGTTACCTCCTGGATAACCTGATCCAGTGTTCATATGCATATTCTGAGCTGTTTCATCAAATACCCAGTTTCGTAAGGCTCTATCCCTAGTGACCTGCAATGCATAAACAGATTCAAACTTGGTTGAAACAGTTCATAACAATACAGAGCCCATTTGTGTTACTCTTGACTCTTAGACACTACTATTTGCTTTTTTATTTTGGGCATCAAAGTAGCCGCATCGGAAAAATTTCACGAAGAAATACCTTTGCAACTATACTTGCTCCACTAACAACAGGGTAGAGACTATCAGCTTTCTTGGCAACCACAAATTTGATGCCTGGAAACTTTTCCGTAAGTTTGACCCTGTACTTCTCAGGATCTCCAACTGTGTCGATATAGACCTTTGCAACAAGGTACACCATTATTCAAACTATGTTGTGAACATTTTCATTTAGAAAGGTTATCTGCGTACATGAATTACCATTTCAAGAACAAAATAACTTACCTCTGTCAGTAAAACTCCATTATCAATAGCTTTTCTAACAAGGCCTATTGCAGAGTTGTGGGATATTTCATTCAGATTAACTTTTGTCCTGAAAATCAAGAAGACTTTTAATCTACTAAAGAAGGTTGAGATTTGAAGTTCATAGTGTACTGAAGCATACCTTTTTAACATTTTGGCAGATAACACTTTTGAGCATATGACATCAACCTCCCACCCAATGGAGCTATTCATCTTGAGACTTTCAAACAGCTCCTCCCTTTGCTCCTCCTTCAAGGTCTTCGAATCTGTTCAAGAATAGAAGAACGATATGCTAACCAAGTTCACTGGTAAATCAGCAATGAAACTGTTGAAGAGTCTGGGCGATTTCACAACTTGTTAACTAAGTACGTACTACTTTAATTCTTCCGCTTCAGCGAATTCAGTACTCATGGAAAGCAGCATTACCATGCTACTCTAGGACTGGACAATTGGGGAATAATATTGAACATGGTAAAACTACCTAGATAAATTAAAGAATTGACGGCCCTAAAGTTTGAAATTCATGCACGGTGCAAAGAAATAGATGTGGGAGCTCTCAAATGGCAGAAACTGGTTTTTAAACTAAAGCTACTATTTGATGTTTTACTCAGATAAGAAGTACACGGAAGCAGTTATGAACTACTCCCTCCGTTCACTATCATAAGATGTTCTAACTTTTTTTCTAAATTGGATATATGTAGACACACTTTAGTGTGTTTGTTTGCTCATTTCAGTCTGTATGTAGTCCATATTGAAATATCCAAAACATCTTATAATAGTGAACGGAGGGAGTACAAGAATGGAGACAAAGGAGGTGGGGAGAGTGGGCGGGCCAGCGGAGGGTGAAGAAGAAGGGAACTATGGAGACATGTGATAATAGCAACAATTAATCAGGTTGTACTGAAAAGACAAGATGTCTGTACCATAGGGTTTTTTTTCTTCTGTCCATAAACTCAAGGGCTGAGGTTCACACACACAGTGTTAGGTTATAAGAAACTATGCTTGTTTCTTTCCTCCGAAATCAACCAAAGTACTGAGCATGGTAACTTAATACGAGTCTTGGTCTTTAAATGATAATGTGATTCAGTTTCCAGATTTGCCTCTTGGTGCAGGATGCAAGTAATTTGTTCATGAAAGTAAAATGGTATCACTCCGTTCACAAATATAAGATGTTCTAACCTTTTTCTAAATCGGATGTATATAGACATATTTTAGTGTGTTTGTTCACTCATTCAGTCTGTATGTAGTCCACACTGAAATGTCCAAAACATCTTATACTTGTGAACGGAGGGAGTATGTCACAGCAACCTAAACTTAATTAAGGAGTTAAGCAATCCAGGCATTCCCACAAGCACAGCAGTCAAGCAAACTAGGAGTACTAAATTTATGAAAGACGAGAAAAGGGCATGAGTAGAGAGACCTGCAAAACTGAGAGTGGCAAGAGTGTCATGGTAGGAACGCGCGCAGTACATGCAGCCATACACCATGGGACCTGCGGGAGTGATAAACACGAAGTTATGATTCTTTTCGGAAAGAACACATCTAATATTTCTGCTTAATCCATTCGGAAATCCGAGTTCTGCCCCGGATATTTCATTGGGGATGCGCGCAGATCAGGTAAAAATTGCGAGCAAGATTCTATCTTTCAGTGGAAACGGGTTATCAACAATATAATTAGCAGTAACATGCAGCAGATCTAGAAGAAACGAACCCATGGCCCAATTCGCCAAACCGAAAGCTAAAATCAACAGAAAGACGGAGAAGAGGTGGTTTACCAAGAACAGGGCCGCGTCCAGCCTCGTCGATGCCCATGAGGCAAGGCTCTTTGGTGGCCCACTCCGGCGCTGCCGCCGCTGTCGCCATGGCCGCCGCCGCCGCCATCTCGGTCGCAGTTCTTCTTTTTCTTTTTTGATGAGTGAAATCTCAGTCGCAGCTGCGCGCGGGTAGACCTTTTTTTAGGGAGCGCGCGGGTAGACCGTAGACCTGATGCCGCGAAAACGGCTAGAGCCTCTTTCGATAACGCCACACATCCAGTTATATTGGCCCAATATACCTTCTAGCGGTTGTGCTTAATCGACCCAATACGGATTTTATAATAATCAGCCCAGTATGTATTTTTCTTAATAAAGGCCCGGTATTTTGTTTTTAAAGGCCAAATCTAAAAGGAATAGTATATATAGGCCATTGTATACCTGATCACGGCCGTTTCACTGGACCAGCCCGCGTAACTCAAAATGAGTTTGAACTCGATGGCTCAAAGAAGAGACGGCTGTAGAAATTGTACGGGGATTTTGATATTTTGCCACGATTTTACTTCGCACTTTGACGATTAGCCATTTGTTACTTTGTATTTTCTTATTTGCCACTGCTTTGTTTGGATTTGGATGTTTTGCCCCAGTCATGTGGGACCCCATGGAAATCACCAGATTGCCCCCTGCCCGTCTGGTTCACCAAGGAGACGAGCTCGTTCCCCATCTGGCGCTCATCTGTCGCTACCGTTGCTCGACGGAAGACGGCGGCGACTCGTCCCGGCGATTCCCCGTGGTCCTCGACGGCGGCAGCTAGGTCAGTCCTCTCACTCTCTCAGCCCGCCGCCCGTCTTGATGCAGGTGCTGCTGCTTGCCGCCGCTGGTCTGGTGTGCTTGTGCGCTACCGTCGCTCTGTTATGTCGCCGCTTCTTCTTCTTGCCGGTCCCTACTGCTGGTGTTGTTCGTGGCCGACCCGTGCTGCTGCTGTTGTTCGTGGCTCTTGTGTTACTGCTGCTTACTGGTGGTCGACGGAAGGTGCGGTGGAGGCGCTCGCAGCTGCCCGACTCCACTTGGGCGCCATCGTGTTCAGCCTTGGCGTGGATCTAGGCGCCGCCGTCTTTGCTGTTGCTCCTCGCCGCTGCACGTTGCTGCTACCCATCGGCTAGTTAGCGCCGGCCTTGCCCGTTGTGCATAGAGGAGCGTCGTCGTTGACTACCGTGCGAACAAGGGATGTGGATTGAGTTCGTCCCGTTGCGTGGAGTTCGTGGCAAACATGCACATAACTCATAAGGGTATACTTGTCCACTCTATTGTGCATATAATATGTTTATCATTTGCAATTATTATTTTTTATGTTATAAAGTGGCAAAAGATCAAATGGCAAACTAAAGAGTGGAAAAATATCAATTACAATTTAAGGAGTGGCAAATTGTTAAAGTCCAAAGTAAGTAGTGGTTGAAAATCAAATCCCCCAAATTGTACGTACGGCATGGGACAAAGCGAAGATAATGCGTATCGGGTCGTTTCTCTCTAAGCGTACACGGGCTTGCATACTTGGGACTGTGGTATTCTAAAGGGACCGAAAAAGAATTAATAAACTCAAAAAAGATTTAGAAAAATTGCAAAGGATACCTATGAATGCGGATTCCCAAGCACGGCAAAAGAAGACTCTTGTCCTTATTGAAAATCTATTGGAACAAGAGGAGATCTACTGGTTACAACGGGTCATGCAAACTGGCTATTGCATGGTGACCACAACACATTTTTTCCGTAATGCGACAACGACTAGAAAGAAAAGAAATGAGATCAAAAAATTGCTTGATGACAAAGGTGTGTGGCTGAAAGACACAAAGATGAAGAATCACATTATGGGGTACTTTTCTAACCTTTTTACCTCAAAAGTTACCTAACTGAACCCGGAGGTTGTATCTCTTGTCCAAAGGAAAGTGACAGATAAAATGAGTAATGCTCTCCTCGCCCCCTATACGGCAAAGGAGGTTCGGAAGACCCTATTTGATATTGGTGATTTAAAAGCGCCGGGTCCAAATGGCCTACATGTTATTTTTTATAAAAGATTCTGGTCTATATTGGGTCGTTGGGGAATGACCTGACCGAAGAGGTACTCCAGGCGGTGAATACCCGCTCTATACATGATGGGTGGAATGACACTGCAATTGTAATGAAGCCAAAGGTTAACTCTCCGGAAAAGGCAACTCAGAGTTTAGATCAGTCACTTTGTGCAATGTGGTGTATAAGGTTATTTCAAAAATGATTGTTGCTCGTGTGAAGACAATCCTATCAAATATTATCAGCCCAACTCAGAGTGCGTTTGTGCCTGGAAAAATGATTACAAATATCCTATTGGCATATGAGTGTTTCCATACAATAAAAAATGGTTGGTAAAGAGGGTTGTGTGCCATCAAACTGGACATGCATAAAGAATATGACCGAGTTGAGTGACCTATTTTGAAGGAAATTATTTTGAGACTAGGTTTCCAAGATGGCTGGATTAATTTAATTATACAATATGTATCCTCTGTGGAGTACCAGGTTTGTTTAATATGGAAGAAACGTGCAGTTTCAAACCTACTAGAGGATTGAGACAGGAAGATCCTCTCTCCCCATACGTATTCTTGTTATGTACAGAGGGACTGACTGTTGTCTTGGCTAATGTGAAGGAGAATGGAAGTATTTTAAAGGTTAGCAGAGATGGGTATGCCCCATCAATTTCAAATCTCTTCTTTGCTGGTGACTCTTTGATCCTTATGCAAGATAATTCTATGAATGTGGAGGCGTTAAAATCAAATTTGGATTCTTATTGTGCCACCGCGGGGTAAATGGTGAGCACTGAAAGTTCTAGTATATTTAGTCTCGATACAAAAGTAGAAGACAAGGCGCAAATTTGTACTATCCTAAATATTACGACTGAAATCCGCAATCACAAATATTTGGATTTACCTGCATAGGTGGGTATGGATAAAAGTGATTTTTTCCAATTCTTGATTGATCAAATTATTATGAAAATTAGTGGATGGAAATAAAAACTGCTATCAGCCGAAAGGAAATTTTACTCAAAATAGTTGTACAAGCTATCACAACTTATGCCATGTCCGTCTTTAAAATTCCTAAAATATCGCAAAGGAATCATTGAGGTGATATCACAATTTTGGTGGAGTGATAAAGACAATCATAAGAGACTGCATTGGATGGCGTGGTGGAAGATGTGTGTCTCAAAAGACCAAGGAGGTATGTGCTTCTGAGATATACACTATTTCAATCTGGCTTTGTTAGCCAGCTAAGCATGGCGTTTTCTTGATAATCCTGATTTCTTACGTGACACTATCTTAAGATCTAAATATTTTCCGAGTGGCAATTTAATGAATGCAAGTCTAAAAACGATTTCCTATTTTACTTGGCAAAGCATTGTGGCGGGAGTTAATTCTCTCCAAAATGGTTATATCTAGCGAGTTGGAAATGGACAAAATATTGATATTTAGAGAGATGAATGGATCCCGAATTGTGAGAATAGGAAAATTACTACTCCTGGAAGAGGTCATCTTCTGTCAAAGGTTGTTGATCTTATTAATCCATTCACAAATTTTTGGGATGAATATTTGGTGAGACAAATGTTGTGACCAATTGATGCTCAGAGGGTGCTCGTGATTCCCCTCCTTGTGCATAATATGACATATTTCATTTCTTTATACAAAAAATGGATTGTTCACTATTTGATCGGCTTATTTGCAGGAATGGAACCAACAACATGGGAGGAAACTGCAATACACAAATGGTATGGGTAGAATCCATGTCAATCCTATTTGGGGTAAGATTTGGAAATTATCTTATCCGGCAAAGGTGAGAATTTTCATTTCGCTTACATTGCATAGAACCCTGCTATGCTCGGTTTACGCTTGCTAATAGACATATGAGAGTTTCACCCATCTGCCTGTCATGTTTGAATGGGCCAGAAGATACAAAACATGTGTTGTTTCTATGTCAGAAGGTGAAAGAGGTTTGGGAGAAGCTGGGATTGCATGAGGCCATTAGTAAATCTTATGCTATTGATCATATGGGAGAGGCACTACTTGAGTTCTTACTTCTTATGCCAAATCAAGATCTATCTATATTGGGCCTCCAGAATGCATGTGAATTGATTAGTATAATAGCTTGGTATTTATGGTGGGATAGACGTAAGCTGGTTCATGAAGGAAAGTCTCAAGATGTGTACCAAACTTTGATGGGGGCTCATGCTATAATGGCAAACTATGATAATGCCAACTCCCCGAATGCAACAAATAGAATGGGGGGTGGAGAAGACCTCCTATGGGTTTGTGAAGCTGAATGTTGATGCTTCTTTTGACCATGATCTCCTTAGGGGGACAGCTGGGGTTGTCCTCATAAATGACAAAGGAAGGTGAAAGGATCGATATAGTTGACTAGAGGGGGGTGAATAGGCAACTAACAATTTTTAGCTTTTCTTTATCAAATTAAACTTTGCATCAAAGTAGGTTGTCTAGACGTGCAACTAGGTGAGCAACCTATATGATGCAACAACAACAAGCACACAAGCAAGCAAGGGAAATAACACAAATAAGCTTGCACAAGTAAAGGTACGAGATAACCAAGAGTGGAGCCGGTGAAGACGATGATGTGTTACCGAAGTTCATTCCTTTTGAGGGGAAGTGCGTCTCCGTTGGAGCGGTGTGGAGGCACACTGCTCCCCAATAAGCCACTAGGGCCACCGTATTCTCCTCATGCCCTCACACAACGCGAGATGCCGTGATTCCACTATTGGTGCCCTTGGAGGCGGCGACCGGACCTTTACAAACAAGGTTGGGGCAATCTCCACAACTTAATCGGAGGCTCCCAACAACACCACGAAGTTTCACCATAATGTAATATGGCTCCGCGGTGACCTCAACCGTCTAGGGTGCTCAAACACCCAAGAGTAACAAGATCCGCAAGAGATTAGTGGGGGGAATCAAATTTCTCTTGGTGGAAGTGTAGATCGAGGCCTCCTCAACCAATCCCTAGGAAATCAACAAGTTTGATTGGCTAGGAAGAGAGATCGGGCAAAAATGGAGCTTGGAGCAACAATGGAGCTTAGGGTTGGAAGAGGTAGTCAACTCGGAG